GCATAGCGGATTCCACTTTAGATAAACTGTTTATGCTAAGATGCAAGGGGACTGGGGAGCGGGATATACCGACCGACCCGCCCCTGTTTCTCTCTATAAGCAAATTATTACATTGCATTAGATCATGTACGTACTTGGCCTTGGTTTTGTAACTTATAAACATTGGACAATGATTCATCGAAAGGGGGCGACATTTCTTACGCAATTTGGCAAATTTTACCAGAACTTTTCAACGATTCTAGTTCCACCGGATCATGTGCACTGTTATTTTTTCTTTTTTGTCTCAAAATGGTGTAAAAATCCTTTACTGTAAAGTTTCGCGCCTAAAGGGGGTCTATTTGCAATGGTTGGGACAAAATAATACCGCTCTACCCCCTCACCCTTCTCGGTCGCTTGCCCTCTCATATTGCACACGTACGTTTAAATTTCGCTGTATATGTGCCATGCTTTACGACTGTATCCTGTCATCTGCCCCTTTTTCCTTAACCTCTCTCTCTCTCTCTCTCTCTCTCTTTCTCTCTCTCTCTTTCTCTCTCTCTTTCTCTCTCTCTCTCTCTCTATCTCCCTCCCGCTCTTTCTCTCATGCTCAGAATGAGACAACACGAAAATGTACATTTTACTTTTTTATTCCAAATCAAGACGAATTCCCCCCCCCCCTTCCACAGGGATTCTTTATTAAATACTTTTGTTCACATTATTATGTACACAAGAATTGATTTTTACATGCAGAATTTCAGAATAATATTCTTGGCCATTCAAAATATGATAAGAAAATCATTTATAGATATCAGTTACAAGTTGAAGTTCACTTTTTTAAAAAAATATCACAGATTTACTTGGCAAAATGATTTTAGAAGAAATTAATGATCAGAAACAGTTTGCGAAAAGTAACCACTTTTTCATAAATTTCTTTTCCTTCAGATTTGTTTTACATATATACTTTTCCATGTTATAATAACACTTATTTGGCTTATTTTAATGTCAACGTTTCTTGGAATGATTAGATATTCCCGCTCTCGTACAAATCGTCGAAGCATTGTCGTTTTTTTTGTTTTTTTGTAGCATTGTTTTATTGTATTCATTCAGTACAAAATATATAAAAGATAAACATACAGCTTCATTGATTTACATATCATATCAAAATATAAGGAAAATTGTACATCTCTCAACAAAAAAAAATACATAAGATAGTTTAATACACAGTACATAATGTTTTCAAATTAATTATACTGAACGAATATTATAAATCAAAGAGTTACCTACAGACAGACAGACAGACACACCACATACGCTCACAATATTCAGACACACATACAAACCTACATATCCCCCCTCCCCCCTTCATTCCAAAGCTCAACAAATCCCCTCCTTTCCCGAGCATTCACATCTACATATTTGTTGGAATCTTAGAATCTTAGAATCTGTCGATAGCAATCATGAAAATGGAATGGAACACCTTTTCCCACCCAATCAAGCCGCTGGCGAATTCATGATTCGGTGTGTTGTTGTTGTTGTTGTTGTTGTTGTTGTTGAGATTACTGGTGTTTCCATCGTCGTTGGATGATTTTCTCCAGGCAATATGAAAGGGTAAAGATGTCAGAGGTATTATGTAGGAGGAAGTAATGCCAGGGGTAGAACAAGTGTCAGAAGTTACAGTGGCAGCTCCTCATCATTAATTCAGTTACGCATTATACGAAATTCAGCGGGACAACACTGTGATTATTGATTTTTTCTTCTTTCTATACTGAGGTATATCAACAAAATAATATTCTCTGATCCCATATTCGACTCAGATGAATTATCTAGGTCTAAGGTAAACAAAAACCTTGTAACAAGTTCGTTGTATAAAAGCAGAAAAAATAAGATAAACAGAATGTTGAAAGTTTGAAATAAATCGGACCAACAATAAGAAAAATTATGAATGTTTGAAATAAATCATGAGATTACGAAATGAGTGCAATCTAAAATTGCCAATCTGGTCTGTGAGTTGAGAGGTAACACGGAAAACTCTACTGAACAAAAATGTTAATTTATGGTTCTCCCTAAACCCTTGAGGCACTTATCAACATAATAGGTCCTCTAAAAAGAAAGGCAGTTTCGAAGAATTGAAATTTGAGTCATTTTGTGTGTTTGAATAAATCAGTGGGAAAGTTGTCCGCCACTACATTAGAGAGTCATTTGAATTTAGTCAACATGAAGAGCCCACAACTTACAGTGATTGCACATTTTATTTAAAAAAATCATAACTTTCTCATTTTAATCCGATTTGATTCAAACTTTCATAAGTCTGCTTCTCTTATTTTCCTGTGTTCTTCTATTAGTACTAGCGTTTTGTTTTTCTACCGAAGGGAAAGTCCACCTTGATATTAAGGTGGTTTTAGAACAAACTCCGATAAAAAATAAGAAAGTTACGATTTTCAACCAATCAAACACAAACTGGCTTCACTATTAATATGTGCCAGATTTTAGTCTACTATATACGAGATCAGTGTTTTTTCACCCCTCTTTTTAAAAATCACGGCACCCTTTTAGGAGTTAGAAAGTTTCGCGTCACACCAATCCAAAATTCATCTAAGAGTTAGAGGACATGTTTTCGACCCCTCCGAATCATTTTCTCGAGAGGGCCTTGAAAGGCCTCTTGCCAAAACTATATTATCCGGATCCCTGAAGCGAGAGAGCAAAAATATAAATTTAACTTTTATTATGACAGAAATGTTATTTGGTCATCAATATACTCTAGATAACATGTAAAATGATACATTCGGTCATCTCGTCGACAGGAATCATCCTGATTTATCAATATTCGTCTCCGTATCTACTGTAGGTCTAGAGCTCTAGCTAGGCCAATGCATATCATTTCTGATCGTCCTTCGACGGTCGTAGATTATTGGGCTAAGCCAAAGATGATTGGTTAAGCTTACCTGTTTTTTTCTTCTTTTAAAGCTTATCTGCCATAGTTTACAGGAGGGATTACACCGGCCTGCAAGGTCACTGGACAGGTGGTTATCTCATCAACTCAGCTCTCAGTTAACATAAGAAAAAGAGGATCATGGGGGACCAATGGTCACCGATTAGGCTTTGTTTGTTATATAGAGGGCGCAAGTAGCTACAAGTAGTGCAGTGGGCCTTTAAATCTTTACATGGAAATGTAATATCAATATTTATTAATATGAATTGTTTATAACTGTTAATAATATAGTTGATATTCTTTTCCTTCTTCTGTTACTGTTCTTGTTATTGATATTATTATTTTATTTTTAATCTTTAATTATCACTTTTAGTATTACTTTTATTATTATTATTATTATTATTATTATTATTATTATTATTATTATTATTATTATTATTATTATTATTATTATTATTATTATTATTATTATTATTATTATTATTATTATTATTATTATTATTATTATTATTATTATTATTATTATTATTATTATTATTATTATTATTATTATTATTATTATTATTATCATTCTGATGATTATTTTTTTTTCTTCATCATTATTATATTTTATTATTTGCATTAACTTTTTTGTTTGTAGGAGCTGTAACGTTTAAGTAGGGTCCTGCCATTCCGCAGATTCAACGAAGGCCTTATGATGAACTGTTGATCTTTGTATTCTTTTTTAATGCTGTTTCTTTGCTTTGATACTGTTCTGGATTTTCCTATTCCTATTCGTCTGATTTCCACCGATGATCGATTACAAATATGTTAGAGCAATTTGAAATTTGTAAATCATTATTTTTTGCTTTTACTTTTTTTTTTGTAGGGGGTGTAACTGTTAAGTAGGATGCTGCCGTTCCGCAGATTCAACAAAGGCCTTATGATGAACTTTTGATGAGGGTATTCTTTTAAAAAAAATGCTATTCCATTGATTTGATACTGTTACTGGATTTGTTTATTCCTATGCCTGCTTTCCACTGATGATCGATTATAAATATATTAGAGCAATTTGACATTTGTAAATCACTTAAAATTATTTATATCTAGAATGAAATAACATTAGACTATTATGAATTATTAAAATATAATTTTTTAAATATTAAATCTTAAAATTATAATCAAATAAATATAATGTTTGTATAACTTTGATTTTAAACAAACTAAAGAATACATTAACGAGAAAAGATTATTTATATTTATTATATATAAATATCATTGATTCCTACTTCGATGACCTTAAAGAAAAACTACCCTCCCGTAATAGGGTAGGACTTTTGACCACTTTTGAAGGGGGCCTTTTTCGGTTAGCTGCCGAATTCGGTCACTATATCACACAAATGAAATATTATTGAAGGAACTATATTCCTGCGTACTCTGAGTCTACATCTACACACCGCGAATCTCGGTAGAACATCTCCATTTTTAACTTCCGAGTTCATTCCGTGCGGGGTCAGGATTCTTTTATTCATAGCACAGCGAAATCTATTCTCGATTCTCTTTATCTGATTCTGTTTATAGACTAAAGCCAAATAACAAAAATGACGTGTTTCTCTTCCGGACTTAAAAAAACAAAAAGGAGGAGGCATGCAGGGCATATTTACTATTTTCCTATTTTTTGCTATTTTTTCCAAGATGACTGCCATGCTAATTAAATCCGACCAAGCCTATTTATTCACAGATATTGTGCTATGTGAGCCAAAGCGATTGATTTGTATCCTATCACATGCGTTTGTTTATTGTTGTTGTTTTTTTTTTGGGGGGGGGGAGCCTTTTTATTTCTGAATTGTAAATAATTAAAATAGGAGGTGGCGGCCAAAAAGGAGGCGGGCGGGGCCGAGAAATACTTCATTTTTGTTATTTGGCCTAATATCGCCTAAGATGCAGGGCTAAGCTAAGGGAGGTGGGGGGGGGGGGGGTACGGGTGAGGTGGTACGACCGACCGACCCACCCCATTCTGTTTTGTAAGCAAATTTTGCAATCATGCTTTTTGCGTTGGCTTTGGTTTTGTAACTAATAGACATTGAACAACAATTGATCGAAAGAGGGCGACATTTCTTATGCAATTTGGCAATTTTTACGCTTCATTCTAACTTACTATTTCTAGCTCTATCTAACTCTTACTGACTGGAAATGTTTGGGCTTGTTAGCAGACCTACAAGGAGGATCGGGCAGACGGTATGAATTTTCATTTTTATAAATATTTAGATGAAAATATGGACTTTCCAAAAACAAAGGTAGATCTAGTCTAGAGTCTAATTGGCTCGCCCCGCAAGCGCAATGGCAAAAGTGCCCGTGTTCTATTTCGTTAGTCCCATGTGCAATGTTGTATGTTGGGACTTCGGTGAAGACTCAATTTTCATATCTTTTTGGTGTAGATCTAGATCTACCTTTCCTAAAAACGAAGACATAATGTACACTTTCTCACAAGTTTCATGGCAAACTGCCATGCTGCACAATACAACTTACAAGTGCATACCGACGCAAGATGGGGTGCGTATATGTGCGCGCGTGTGTGAAGTTAGCGACTGTAATCTCAGATCCTCATTAAATTCATGTAAGTTAGATCTAGATCTACAAACTAGAATCTAGACTAGTCTAAGTAATTCACATTATGATGATCATCGTCATTATGGTCACTAACTTCACACATGCTCACGGTTAAGCGTGATTTAAAACAAAAAAGATGTTTTCTTGATGCAAATTAGGCTTCAAGGACGAAAGCTTTCGCACAGTTAATTGTAGATCTACCCCAAGCCCCGCGCCTGACCGTGCTGACACTAAAGACTCTTTGTAATTGAGCAAAGCTGCGCATATGAAAACGTGAATGAATGTGCACACTGAACTTTCAATTGCACTTTTCCATCAAAATACAGGAGACTATTCACATTCTTGATGACTCCTTTAAGTATAGATCTAGATGTCTAGACTAGTTTTGGAAACGCCCCCTCTCTCAAAAAATGAAATGGGAGCTCTAATTACAAATCATGTGAAAGAATATGTTTTGACTAATAATACGTGATGATACAAATTTTGCCGCGAAACCGCCAACTAATTGATATATTTGGTAAATTATTATATCTATCCAGACCGGATAGATATCGCGCACGTGTCGCGTAGTCCCATCAGGGAATAATTTTCCTGGTATCGCATCGCAATTTGCTATGCATTTTGCATGACTACTTCTACTATCGCTCTTTTCCTACACAAAATTGATGCTTCTCGTTCTATGACTCTCCAAAGCTCCTAACCGGTCGGATTATAAACATTTACTTATTTGGACTCCAGGAATCTCCAAAACAGTGGAGGGATCAACTAAGAAGAAGAAGAAGCTATACAAAATATCTTTTGTGTAGCAGTTTTCTTCCATAGAAATGTACAGAATTTCATTTGAAATATTTATCCATCGCCTGAAATTGCTAATCAAAATATTTGAGGAAAATTATTCCCTGCCCATATACATCTTTCTGTGTACAGAAACATTCTTTGTGGCTAAATATATATTTTAGCTCTGACCAAATTGGTTAAGTCAACTTGGGTTACATAATTCCGTAAACAATTTGCTGTTCAGGGATACCTCATGCACAGTTGAAATTTTGTGTTAAGCTATGGCATGGTAGATTAATTTAGGTCCATGCTGTTTGAATCTAGGTCCATGCTGTTTGAAAAACTGACCACTGATTTCTAATTATTTATGATTTTTGAACAATTCCAGGCTCTCAAAGTCAGTGCTTTTCAGCTTTTTGGTCATAATTTTTAAAAAGACAGAGCAATAACTTCCCTAAATTTTTATGTTTTGTTTGTTCTCAGCTCTCCTACCTACAAAGGCATAACAGCACTTTGATCGTAGCAGAACACAACAATGAGAATCTTGTACCCATCACCCTCAACGCCATCTCGGCTGCTAAGAAGGTCGGGGGAGAGATCTCCTGTCTTGTTGCTGGTACCCAGTGTGCAAAGGTAAGGGTCGTAGTAATAGTGTAGTACCCTGCTAATAGGATTTCAGTATCAAAAGGATTACTTTAAAACTGTATGCATAGCAATTTCCTGTTCATGTTGAATTTTCTAAATATTGTTGTTGCTTATCTTCTGAACTTATTTCTTAATAACAGTACTAAAGATGGCGGCACTTTATTGTCTGCTTTCAGTTCCTGTACTTTTAAAGTGACTTGGTAACATCGTTGAAGGTTGATGAAAAAATTGCTTAATTTTTGTATAAAATGTTGACTTACTATATATTCCTTCTACTGTACTAACCCTCTGACATGCAAAAAATCCTGAAAAAAATCTCAAACCACAAAGATATTTATGGTTTTCTTTGAAGGAGTTGATGTATGACACCCTCTAACAGTGATTAACAGTAAATTCTCCCAACCATTTTTGAATTTTCCCAACTGTTTTTCCATTAAAAAAAAGACATAAAACAGGCTATAAAAAATATGTCAACACTTAAATGTCTGGAATGGAATGTAGAGTCATTTTTATTGCTTTGTGACGATTTTCATTCACCTAAAATGTAATTAAATTGTAATAATATATTTGGGAGAATTAAGGAATCGATCAGTTTTTCCCAATTTGTACCATGAATAATGGTCCGTTTTCACTCAAATTTTCAGATTATCTTTAATTGTACATCAAGCATTGAAGTCACTACCTGAGCACCACTACCGGTATCTCTCATCTGAACAATGTTACCAAGTCCCTTTAAGGATTAAGATGATCACAAACTCAAAATCTTAATAGAAATTTTAAATGGGCTGATCACTATTATCAAATGAGAATGAGAGTAGATCTGTTGTGTTCAATCTTTTGTGTGAAATGGTTGTAAAAATATAATTTGAATTGATGGCCAGCTAAGAAAGTGAACATATAAAATTCCCTGTAACAAGTAGACTTCAACCATTATTAATGAAAGCATTAGTGAAGCATATTGTGATTTACATGTGCAGCAGTTTGATTTGTTAAGCTGGATATTGGTCCTGTATCCAGGTGGCAGTATTCTTAATAAGTATCTATACTACAGTAACAATTTTTACATTATGTTTGTGCAGGTAGTGGAAGAATTATCCAAAGTTTCTGGGGTAACCCGCATCTTGGTGGCAGAGAGCGAGGAGTACAAGGGTTTCCTCCCCGAGTCTCTCACCCCACTCCTTATGGCCACCCAAACACAATTCAACTTCAGTCATATCGCAGCGGGTGCATCCAGCTTTGGGAAGAGCTTGCTGCCGCGCCTGGCTGCTAAGCTCGACGTTGCTCCCATCTCGGATATCATTGACATCAAGGCCCCTGACACATTTGTGAGGACAATATATGCAGGTAAGTTTGGGATTGATTCTAGCTCATCAGTATTTGGTTTTACCAGTAATTGTAGGATCTTCCATGTACAGGTAAAAGGTACTCTTCACCTGCCCCACCCCTCCCCCCCCCCCCCCCCCCCCCCCACTCCGGGCTCAGAGGGACCACATTCGTGTTCCAAAATCTCTGGTAAAGGTATACTTTTTATGTAACAAAGTTCAGGACGTATTGACTTTTAAGTACTTATAAGTACACACCAAATCTGGGGGGTGCTTTTAAAAACCTGGCCCGGACTGACTTTACGCACCGGAGATAGGGTGGGTGGTTTCAACGGGAGGGAACATGCATACGCGTACCCTAAATAACACTGAGTGGGGGAGGGGGGGGGGGCAGGACTCTTCACCCTATTTCTCTTTTTTTCTTTTCTCTCATATTTCTCAGTATGTCTCTGTGCCTGTCTCTCAGTCTTAGTCACTTTGTCTCTGCCTGCTGTGTCTGTCTCTCTCTCTCTCTCAATTTTTTCTCACTTCCTTCGTACTCTGTCGTGATGAGTAACTGTAATTAATCTGTAACTGATATGGGATATGAGAACCAAAGTTTGTCGTTATTTTTCCCCCAAGGAATGATTGAGACTCTTTGTTTCTTGTATTTACATTGTTTAATAATACAGTGTGTATCATTTCTTGGGGAAGACTACAGTATGTCAAGAACACTTAAAGAAATATTTCTTTGTATGATCCAGGAAACGCTATAGCCACAGTGAAGTCCCTTGATGCCCTGAAGATCTTCAGTGTAAGGGGTACAGCATTTGAACCAGCAGAAGCTACAGGAGGAGCAGGAGCATCAGAACCAGGTAGAACAGAACAAGACAGTCCAAAAAAATACATGTACTCAGTCTCAATAATAATAATAATAATAATAATAATAGGTATGATAATGATAATAGTAATAAAAGTAATGATAATGATAATAATAACAATAATAATAATGATAAAAGTGATTATAATAATAATAATAATAACAATATTATTAAGAATAAAAGTTATGATAATGATATTGATAATAATGATAATTATAATAATAGTGATTATAATAATGACATTGAAAATAATAATGAATCTGCCGGCTATCTAGTAAAACCTTTGTTAGGCACATTATGAAATTAAGGGGAATCATTTAAGAAAGGAGAATTATAAAATAGACTACAGAATAATACAAATTCTGTTGAATTACATTCAGGTACTGTATGCTCTAAAAAACTCAGTCACACCAACTCCAGACCAACTAATTCTTTGCCATCCAGGGTAGTACAATTCTTTGTTCAGGCTGTTGTTGGTCTGGGGGGTGTTTCACAAAGATCCTAAGTTGAACTTATCTCTAAGTTGGACTTAAAATTTATGGGAAGCCATTAGCATCCTTGAAAACATTTTGTAATTTTTTTTTAGAAGGCATAAAATGTTGATTCAAATCATTCATATTTTCTATTATCATGGGAGATTTCATGTTCTTGATGTGGAATTGATGAAAAGTCTAAAATACTCCAATTTTTGCTTTTGAATATATTTCATTTTAAGGCTCCAATGGCTGTCCATACTTTTTAAGTCCAACTTAGTGTTAAGTTCTACTTAGGATCTTTGTGAAACACTCCCCTGGTGTTGGTCTCCTTGGTGTGACTGGGGTACTGGGAGAGTCTATTAACCCGATATAATGATGGATAAGCTATATCAGATTATAACAAATGTACGTTTTCAATCATTTTTTTTCCTTTCTTTTAAATACGTGGTATCATCTATTCTTTATTTTATTTTCATTTTTTAATGTATTTTCTATTCAAATTGAAAATTCCATTCACGTATTTCTTGAATGATCAGTTATTTCATGAGGATACCAATTAATTTGTATTTTACCTGTTTATATGCTTGTGTATTTATCTATTTTGTTTTTGCTGCTGGTATATCTTATATTCTTACCAAACAGTGCCTCGTGGAAGACCACCAAATTGGTGATATGTGCCAATCTGTATAAATATCATAAATAAATAAATAAATAAATAAATGTATGGGATGGTCATTTTTATTTAGCACCTGCCTGTGATGCCAAGAATGACCAGTCATCCTGGCTGAGCCAGTCGTTGTCCAAGAGTGACCGACCAGAACTGACCAGTGCTGATACAGTCATCTCTGGAGGTAAGATCACTATATCACATTGGCAAAGGCAGATGGCTTTCTCTTATCACAATCCTTGGTTGTCTGAGAATCTACAAAAAGAACTTGTGGGTTTGAATCTTCAATTAATCAATTTGTGAACATGAATGGAGGGCATATCAAGATAAACAATGTCGTAGAGGTTTTACATGTGTCAAAATGTAGGTTTGCTTGATGCTCTTATGTGGTTTATGTTTATATTTACAGTATTAAAAGGGATATTAAAGTGGGGACCCCAAGCCTGCTCCCATACTGCAGTGCGGATACGCCTTCCCTGTGGACATAGGGACTTTGATAAATGCACATGAAGGGGGATGTCAATATTACCTGCAAATGTCCTCTTATTTTACGACTACTTGATCTGTTATTGTGATTTAATTGGTTTTTATATCATGAACATGTGGATGGATTTAAAGATATCGCAGTTTGAGTATGCTGCTAGATCATGTGATACATGTGTACACTGTTTGGTTGTTTAAGTTTCAGGAATAATGGACTTCTCGTCACCAAGAATTAATACTTTCTTAGTCTTAGATGCACACAGGAAAAAGAAAAGTTGGTGTCTAATTCTTGAATGTTCATTTTCTTCTAGGGAGAGGTATGAAGAATGGCGAGAACTTTGAGCTCCTGTACACTTTAGCTACCAAGATGAATGCAGCCGTGGGCGCCTCCCGAGCAGCCGTTGACGCTGGTTTCGTTCCCAATGACATGCAGGTCGGACAGACCGGCAAGATCGTTGCCCCGGTAAGTCTCATCCTCATGCATTACCTGTTAGGCCTAAACAAAAGAGATGTTGTATTGCCCTTTAGGTGCCAGAACCTGGGTCGGTCGGTCGGTTAGATTTTTGTTGTTGTTGTTGTTACCCTCAAAACAGCGACCGTCACCCCAAAAAACTCAAAACCAGGAATGATGCCCAAATCTCGTTTGTTTCTAGCTAGTGCAGTGCATGGTATATATACACGTACACGAGGCCGGGATCTACTTGTTTACGCTAGCAGGATTTCTAAACTAGGGCAAAAGAGGAGTGAGAATTAGGGTATAATTTGATGATTTTATGCCTTTATATCCCATTTAAACAAACAGTTTTTTTTTAAATTCATTAAACATCTTTTTTCTAAACAACAGTAAAAAAAAAACTTTATTAAAAAGTCGACCGTAGATTTTAAGATTTTTGGGTCGGTCACAAAGGCCATACAACATCTGTTTTTGTAACGCCTTATGGTTAATACCCAGAGGTAACTGATTAAATAAAACAGGTTTTGAAATGTTAAAAGCCATGCTTTGCATCCATTATTACTTGGAGAAGATGGGTGTTGGAGGGATGAAGGGGGAAAATATGCAGTGATATGTTTAGTTGTGTCCGAGGAGGAAAAAATCGGTAGAGCCCACTTCTGGAAAGAAATCTTGCTAATACTCTTCTACAGCATTTGAGCACTGAAGCTGGAATATTAGACGTATCCCAATTCATTCTGAAAATAACCTTTTATGATATGACAGAATACAAGTACTATTGCATTGGTATTGATTATTGCTCTGATAAGTTATTGTTTGCGATATCTGCACTAGTTTGGCCAGGAGGGATTAGACCTCCCTGCGTGGTCACTGACAAGTGGTTATCTCATCAAATCAGCTCTCAATTAATAATAATAATAATAATACTTAGTTTTTATATAGTGCTTATTACAATCACTAAGCGCTTCCAAACATAACATGAGAAAAAGAGGATCAGGAGGGACCAAGGGGTACCGCTTACCTGGTAGTAATTTTTTGCTATATAGAGGGCGCAAGTAGCCATAAGTAGTGCAGTGGGGCTTTAAATGAAGAGTAATCCAATGTGTTCCCAAAACGAAATTTTTAATGTACATGTGAAACTGATTCATTAATATGGATGATTCTAACAAGATGCATATTGCCTTCTTTGCTTTACTTTCGTTTTCTGTAGCAATTGTACATAGCCGTTGGTATCTCAGGTGCAATCCAGCATTTAGCTGGTATGAAGGATAGTAAAACCATTGTCGCTATCAACAAGGATCCCGACGCACCCATCTTCCAGGTCGCTGACCTCGGACTTGTTGCTGATCTTTTCAAGGTAAGATGGTTGGCAGGGAGATGAGAGTTAAAGTTGCTCATGCGTGGGTATATAGAGGGCAGCACACGGACGTACGCATGGGAGCATACTACCTGTTGGCTCTGTGTTATGTCGTGATCGCCAAGTTGCCTACTTCACGAATGACTATATACCCACACATGAACATCTTTGAAAGATGTGACACAAAGCCTTTGTCATGTTTTTTAATGGCAACTCCAACACTGAAATACATTTTCTGAAAAAATAATTTTGTGTTCAGGTATTCTGTAAATGCAGGAGAAAAGCATTTGGAGGAAATTTCTGTTTTTAACTCTTCAAAGAGACACCCATTAGCTTAAAACATTTGAATTTGGAGCATCAAGCACTTAAGGCTGCATTGTTGTGCTATTCAAATGCCTTCTTTTTCACTAGGAAATGTTGACTCGTAGAAATAGGATAGTTGTGAGCTACATTTATGTCAGCATCTTGGCATTGCCTTTGTTGTTAATTTGTTCTATTTTAAATCCTATTTTGATCACATTGTGTAGTTGAATCTAGATGCTAAATCAATTATAAATCGTTTTTGTTTGTTATTGTTTTGGCAGGCTGTTCCAGAAATGACCGAGATGCTGGATAAGTAGTGAAGAACTTTACCAAGAAGAGCCAGTGCCATTGGCAAAAATTTCCAAAATTCCCTGTGCACTACTGGGGGTGTATCCCACTAAGTGCCCATAGTGTATTAATAACTTGAATATGATCTAAACGGTGTTGCACCAATATCTAATGCTGTGGAAAATTATTCTTGCTTCGGGGCAATGTTGATCATCTACATCATTTTACTTCAAGCAGTGTTAGAGTGAATATAGTTTAACATCTAAGTTTGGTAATTTTTTAAGTTTGTGAAAAATTGATTCGTCCCAAATTATATTTGTTTGACATGTGACAATTTAAAGCTTACATCTAAAAGTATTCAATAAAGGCCCTCATAATCAACCAGTAGATCTTTCATTCTTTAGTTACAAAGACACAAACAACATCATTACAAGGGGTATGAAACTATGAATAACTTAGTAACTGTACCTCTTGGTCTGTCTGTGTGTATTTGTACATAATATATCTGTAAAGCATTTTATTAGAGATATCGTCAGATGCGCTATATAAAAGCGGAGTATTATTATAATTACATGGAGATTTACGACGGCTAAAGTTTTGTTACTCATGCCAAAGAGTGATAAGCAAACCTAGTCAGATGTATTATTTTATATAACAAGCACATTGGTGTGAATGAAGTTGTTTTGCAAAGCACAAGTGGGACCCTTATTGACTCGGTATATGTCTTCTGCCAGCAGATAATGTAATGTCAGCAATTGCCCCATCTGCTGAGAGACAGAAGCTTATGAACTCTGTATAGTGGTATTTGAGTGAACACCCTTATGGCTCTCAACAGACAAATATACATTTATGTATTGATCAAATTCTTCCCGGTCCAACTATTGAACATTGTAGTTTAAATGAGATCTGTGGTCTGTAAAACGTCCTGTTTGAAGAAAAAGAAGTAGAACAATTTAAATGGTGGACCATTATGCATGTATAAATAAATTATCTGTGATGGTATTTTGCACATATGAATGTTACATTTGAGGTGAGATGAAGGACGATGTATAGCAATATGTTGACAAAGAGATGAATAAAATGTGAAATTTTACCTCAACTACAATGTCTTTGCAATTTTATTTGATTGGTACTGATTTATGGTAAACATCATCTCAACTTGATATTAACAAAAAAATCTGTCTGCAAGAAGGCTGTGAGAGCTATGGATTGTCCTGGGGTGTTTCACAAAGGCTAAGATCAGCTTTAAGTTGAACTTCACTATGGCAGGCCTTTCATGCCACTGGTTGCTCTCTTCATTGATCTCTCAATAATGATCTTTAGATAATATTTTTTGCTTCAATAATGAATTATCAATAATCCCTTGAGAGACCAATACCTGTAAACAGTGAGAGCAAACAGTGGCATAAATGGCCTGCCATATTTAAGTCCAACTTAAAGTCCATCTTAGTCTTTGTGAAACGCTCCCCAGGTCATTAACAGCCTTCTTGCATGCAGCTAATAAAGTAAACAATTACAAATTCATTAGTGTTTATATACATGAACATTTTATTTCTGCTATGTCGGGAACAATCCACATTTTATGAGTTTGATTTTCAAGTAGGGGGGTTTAGGATAAAAATAAATGACAGAAAATACATGTATGAAGAAGGAAAACATGACAAGTAGACTAAAAATGTCTAAGCCAGGGAGAGTAAAACGCAATGAACTCATGCCTGTTATTTCACATACAAGGAGGAGACTTGACTTCTATACGTACACTCCTCTCTAATTCTAACACATTTTTTACATATCACTTTTGAGATCGAACTAACCACTATTATTTAGAAGAGAAATGTCTCTCTTTACAGATTAAATGAGGAATAACTGCTTTCTTGATTCAAAATTTCAGTTTAGAAATAAAATATTGTACATTCAACCATGTAAATACATGTATGGTGAGAACTGTCACTTGCAAGTTGTACATTCAAGCACTTGTGACCTGGAAAGGAAAATCCCAAAATTCATATTATGAGCTCCACAATTTTGACTCGATAGGTAAGAAGATCCTCTGGAGGCAAATTAGACATCAATCGGGTTTTGGGCTCTGTGTCTATCAATCATATAATAATAATAACGAGATATTTGTATATCGCAAATTGCAAATAACAATTTGCATCATGAATCTTATTCAGCCTGATTTAATTTCCTGTACTATGTAATGCTTAATTAGAATTAAACACAACCAGGTTGTCCTAAAATGTTATTCTGTTAAATACTTCTACCCAAAATTATATTGATATTAAAACTAAAATAAATACCAACTTTGCCACATGCCAGTGTTGTAAATGTAAAGCATGACCATCTAGCATTTGTCAAGTTTTTCAATGTTCAATTGTAAATTGTACATACCGGTAGACTGGGTTAAGTAACAGCCCTGCATGAATAATCATTCTGTAATGAAATACTTCTCTGAAAAAAGTTAATAACAGGATTATCCATGTCCTTCCATTCATAAAATTGATTTACATATTCATGATTTTAACTTCCCTGAAACTAAGGCACATTAACACAAAAAACGTTTTATTTTACATGCTCCAAGCTGCCATTCCCACATACACAGGCAGCATAGTAGTTGAATAATTCAGTGATGATTCGCTTTCCTGTAAATGTCAATTCAAATAGAGTAAATTTGATTTTAATTGACAAAAATATAACAACTCCCTGCTATGTCTGTTTTTTTAAACTTTTAATAGTTTCCTTTGTAATCAAGGACTTCGTGCATTACCAGACATTCTTAAATATACCAATCACAAACAACTATTTTATTTTGTATGTTATTAGTTCCATTCTGCAATGCTATATTCCAAATATGAGCTTCAAATATTAAATCTAAAAGAGATTTCGCAAGTTCAAATACACTCTCAATTAAAAAGTGATTTGTAAATAAGACTACTTAACGCACCTGCATGGACTCGCATAAATTTGAGCCCGCACAGGCCCTTGTTCACTGTTTAATTTTAAAAAATATTTTCATCATGCTACTCCTTATCCTTTTGCCCATAGAAAGTTTGGTAAAGTTTTGAGCTTGATTTAGACATTTTCGCTGTACACAAAATAAGTTTTTAGCCGATTGGTACACTGTAAACTTAGTAACTTACAACCATCTAGATGGTACACTGTAACGTTAGACGAATAAGATTAGGCTTCCTAGCTTTTCCAACATTTTATTTCCTGAAGCATCAACATTTGGCAGAAATATATTACCAGTAAACATTTATTCAAGAGCAATCCCAATACTTCATTCACTTCCAAGATTCTGATTACAGTGCCCTAATCGTTTGGAAATGCTGAAGAAATGCCCCGTAATACACAATCAGCACACTGAGAATGTGAAATACATACAACTGGACAAAAACAGCTTCAGGACTTACACAAAAGGTGCAAATTGCACAATATAACCAAAGTCACTATAAGCATAAAATATTGTAAAATACAATAGCAAGAAAATATCATGATCATCATTACTGAAAAAAAATTAATTTCATTAAGTTTGAATTAAAAAATGAGATTAGAAAACAAGTACAATCAAATTTCAATATTACTGTTCACATGTATTTTGAATTTTTCAATACCTTTCCTTGTAAACTACGTATACTTCTATTATAATACACAATGAAAATTTCATCCACTTAATCTTGCGATGCCACATTGCAAGTAACTAATGAATGGCTCTTTTGCATACGCACATTTTGATTTCACAATCAAATCATTACTGAATTGAGGCAGGATATTTAATCGCCTGGTAAGTAGCAAATACAAAGAGCTTCCATATTGCAACCTTTGACAAAAGGGTCTAAAACACAAGACTCATTGAATATTTTTTTTAAACTACCGGGTATTGGAGGTTGCGAAGGCATGCCTATGTCACACACGGACACAGTGTATCTTGCTGAATTTTCTGGATAAGGTTTTCTGGATATGAAGATTTTTAATTGCATTAAACTGCAATCTCAGTCAGAAATGTCGGCATGCTGAAAAGGACTACATTGCAAGAGCGTAAGACACCAGTATTTTCTATCAGACAAAAAACAAAGTATTCAATTAGTCTTAAAGTTTACTTTAAAAGGTATTAATATTGGCGTTCATAAAGTAATTTGGAGCATTAAACCAACATTGCCAGAAAAGAATTTCATGGAGGATCTGCTAGGAATTTAGGAATGTATTTCCTCACAGCTCACTGATGTTTCTCTCTGTGAATCTTCCTCGCTGTGCATCTTCAATAAAATGGGTCCAGTTGCCTGCATCTCACCTTCAGATTTCAGTGTAGTGGCGATCAGTGTGGGAATAATTTCTTTTTGGGGGTACAGTGGAACCTCGGTATAAAGAGCTCCGTTATAACAAGATTCCTGATATAACAAGGTAACTTCCTTGGTCCCAAGGACCTCGTTATAACGAGTGTCCACTGTATTCAGTTATTCACGGAGAGGCATGGAGAGTGAAGATTAGTTTGAACGGCCAAAGTCTCTTGTGATTGGTGCGTTATAGCGTTACCCATGATGCATCCTTGTTCCTGCTCGTATCGTAGCACAGCTTTCCCATTGCAAGTGAGTGGCATCGCAGAGATATCCGACTGATGTAAACATCCAGGGAAGTTGTCATTTCTTACCTTTTGCTTTAGCTGTGAGAAAAACAGAATTTGGGGAAAAATTTGCTGTTATTGCTGAGATCTAGGACTAAGATTATCTGCTGAGAGCCAGAAGGGCATTCACTCATATCGTTCCTATTTTCATGAAGTGACGGTAGTGAGGTAAATCTGCACGCAATTTGTATGCGATTTTCAGTCACTACCGTCACTTCGTGAAAATAAGGACGATATGTTCTAACACAGAAATGATATCCTTCTGGCTCTCAAGGGACAGTATCTACCAACTTTGAATAAAAATAATACGGACTACCGTCTCTTAGTGCTTTACAGATATTATTACCCCTGTCATCAGATCCATTCAGGCACAATGTGCACCATCTCCACTACCTGGGGAGTATTCCTACCATATGGTCACCTTGAGGGCATAGGCAATTACTAACAACAACGTATTTGTATGTCATATGCAGGGCTGCACACTAACTTTTTCTGGAAAGGGATCTGAAGTGAACTTTTGACAGTCTCTATGCATGAGCCCTGTGTAAAACCCTTTTTTCTCTCCCTTTTTTTTTGGGGGGGGGGGGAGGGGGGGACTTCAAGATAAACTTGAGTTCTGGTAAAAAAAAAGAAAATTCATTCTCACAGAATCAAACAAATCTTACACTGAATGTTCAGCATTACAAATAAATGTGAAGTGCCAAACAGTTTTTGAAGAAAATGAATACTGGCTGAGTAATGAGCATAGAAAGATAAGGAAATCAAGGTATAGTAGCCCCGACACCATTTGTGTAGTACCATTTACATATTTCTGTGTACAGTGCTTGTTACTTTACCAAGACTGGGCCACATTTATTATGATTTTCATGACTCCAGAACCTTGCAGTACACGCCAATACTTATAAGCTACATGATCAACTTTTTCTGATCCATTCCACACCTTTTCTTTCACAATGCAATCGCATTACCAGAACTCACCTTTATCTTTAAATTTTGAGTACCTATGTGTCCAGGGCACCTGTTAGTGTTGAGCCCATTGTATGATAGAGAAATATAGTGAATTACTGTCCCATGTAAAATGGGTACAAGGGAAGACTATTATATCTTACATTTTGCTTCTAGATCTTTTTTCCTCTGTGCTTCTTCTCTCTGTTTCCTGATGATAGCTAGCCTGGCTAGATCTGCCCTTGCTTCATCCGTCTTACCCGCCTGGTGGGCCTTCATGTAACGGTCCTTAGCTTGTTGCTTCTCTATCTCTTCCCTGCAAAAAGGACAAACAAGTGGAAATTCAAGTCAGTTGCACAAGCAGCATTATTTGCCTGACATAGGACTGTATTAGCAACTGGTGCTGTCTTCGATACGGCCTGCATGTGTGAAAATTGTATTTAAAAAAAGTTATCGACACATGATCAATGCACACATTACGTTGAATTACTGGTTTCTGGCTAATTGCCTTCAAAGAATTATTTAACACAGGC